GTCTGTCTGTCTGTCTGTCTGTCTGTCTGTCTGTCTGTCTGTCTGTCTGTCTATCTATCTATCTATCTATCTATCTATCTATCTATCTACCTACGTACCTTCCTTCCTTCCTTCCTTCCTTCCATCAAGCTGATGAATTTCATCTTACCTTCTGAGAGATTCAGACTCTCTAAAATTAAAATTTATACCCAGTCCTCTAACGGACATGTTACCAGTTTAAACCAGTGCTTAATTTGTTTGCGCAGTTGTTTAGTGGCATACACTAAAACCATCTAAATAGTTGTCTCATGCTTGGTAACTGGCATTGGTGTCAGAAGCATTTGTAATGTGGGGAGGACACATTGGTGGGGAGGTCTGGGGGTCCTCCCCCAGTAAATTTTGAATAAAGTAGATGACATTTCCAGCATTCTGGTGTATTTTAATGGGTTGTTAAACATCTATGTTTACCTACATTTGTAAACACTTGATTCAATAACTATTTTAGAGAGCAACAAGAAGTATCCTGACCAACAGCTCCTCTTGTGTGAATAGAATATGCTCTGCTTCTCTCACACATCCTCGCTCCTGCTCCAGTACTATCACCACTGTCTTCATGTGCTTCAATTCTCGGTTGTTTAGTTGTACAATGAGAAGACTTTTTTATATGAAAGTAAATTGGACTGTCGCTTTGACATTTTGATCACTGTTATTTTGACGAATTGTGGCACCATTGTTTTGATACGTGATGACGTAATGACGTGATTACCTATGAAATATTTTTCATATTTTTGATAAATAATCAATTTTTTAATGACCCACTTAAAGTGTAAAACTGATTTTCAACCTAGTTGTGCTGTGTGGGTAAAGATAATGGATGGATGGATGTTTAATTGTGTTGATGTGTTTTTAGTTAAATTGCCCATGACTGAACTTTTAGGGGTGGAGATTATTTGAAGGGTAGAAGCAGCGATGTTTACTTGAAGGGGCAGTTCAGATATGATATTACGAAGCTTATAAGTGGCTATGTTTAAAGTGTTTATGTAATTATTTTCAGATTACATATCCAATACAAGTTTTATTCGTTCAAGTCAATTTTGTTCATATCTTATTAGTAAGCCTGAGAGTTACCGGATCCAAGCAGTTACAGGAATGCACCCTGTCGAAATAAGAGCATTCCCAGTTCATGTTCCGGCAGGATCCGGCTCAAATTAAACCCTGAATTAAATTAATTAGTTGCAAAATGCTCCTGCAGCTGTTTCTGATTCGTACAGCTTAATTTTACAGCCTCTCACTGCTCCTGTCCCAACTTTTCCGAGACATGTTTCTGCCAGCCAATTCAAAATGATCTACAATTTGTATTCAAGACATGTCAAAACCAGACTAGTGTGAGGCCCAGATGCTTTTCTGAGCCAAAACTCTGTGCTTAAATGAATAAGCCCAAACCTCTCAGCAGGTAGCCTGCACTGTAACCACTGCACTGAAAATAAAAGCACTGCTCAAACTGATTACCATAGATTCATCTGTAAACACAGATTTGTGCTGAGAGACAAATCAAATCACAGTTTAGGTGAGTGTGTTACCTTAAACTTCACTAAACCCGCCTGAACACGTCCCTCCCACTCACCACTCACTCAGAAATAGACCTGTCATCTTGCCACCGTCCCCTTATCGTTTAAGTGTTAACAAGCCTATTTTCCTGTGACTGACGTTGACGCAATCCCTAAAGCCCTGGCTTGGCACCAGATCGCTCCTAAGCCAAATTAAGCCTCTGTCATGCCCACCCCCACCTTCAGTCTGCAGCTACTCCTGCCATGGGAATCCTAAATCTTTAATGACGATGAAAAGCTCGGTGCACACGACACAAAGGCAGTGACATCTGTCTCTGCGAGCGCCGCTCTCCAAAGCAGCAGCGTTTGTTCTATTTTCACACGGTTCAAAGAGAAAGCAAATACGGAGGTTGAGGTAAGGTGGAGAAACTGGAGTATGTTTTTGTTAAGAAGTTTATTCCCAAGGCCTTAAATGCTGAAGTGTGTTAAAAGCTGCTCTGATCCACCGCCTCGCGCTGCTGCTCTGGCTTCAGCCCACCTGCTCACAGGCCCAAGTCAACTGTGGCACCAGGAGAGCAACGCGTTCCCACAGAGCTGATCTGAAACAGGCAGGCCTGTAAACTCCTGGTGCAGCTGGTGGAGCTGCTGCCTCTCACTGAGAAGGTCGCTGGATCAAAACTCGGTCAGGGGCCTTTCTGGGTGGAGTTTGCATGTTCTCTCCGTGCATGCGTGGGTTTTCTCCGGGTACTTGAGTTTCCTCCCACAGACCAAAAACATGCATGTTAGACTGATTGGTAACTCTAAATTGTCCCTCGGTGAGAGAGTGAATGGTTGTTTGTCTCTATGTGTCCCTGTGATGGACTGGAGACCTGTCCAGGGTGTCCCCCACCTCTCACATAGTGATGGCTGGACATGGACAGCAGTGACCCAAAAAGGAAGAAGTGGGTAAAGATAATGGATGGATGGGTGAAGGGATGGATAGATGAAGGGATGGATGGATGGATGGATGGATGGATGGATGATGGATGAAGGGATGGATGGATGATGGATGAAGGGAGGGAGGGAGGGAGGGAGGGAGGGAGGGAGGGAGGGAGGGAGG